GGAAGCTGAAGTCGGTGGACCACCTGCGGTCAGGAGTTCAAGACCAGTCTGGCTAACATGGTGAAACCCCATTGTTGCAATCGGTTACTACGGGATATAATGAAGGGGACGAACACAGAAATAAAGACAAAGACAAAAAGATCTGTTCTGAAAGAAGGGGTCGGGGGCTTCTTGCTACTAGTGATTCCTTCTGGTGGCAAATACAGTTTGTCAGTTTGCCAACATCCTGCTTTCATGAGAACAGTTTGTTGCTTGCTCATACAGCCTCCAGTGGTATAGTGAGTTGATCACGACCCTCATTCTTTCGGCCTCCAACACCCCGTCTCTACTAAAAATGCAAAAATTAGCTGGGCATGGTGGTAAATGCCTGTAATCCCAACTACTCTGGAGGCTGAGGCAGGAGAATTGCTTGAACTGGGAGGAAGAAGTTGCAATCAGCCGAGATGGCACAACTGCACTTCAGCCTGGGTAACAGAGCAAGACTTTGTCTCAAAAATAAATAAATAAATAAATAAGTATAAGTTGGCACAATCACTTTGGAACTAATATTATTATTATCTAGTATGGTTAAAGTCCATACAACATATAATCCAACTCCTAATCATACACTCTGCGGGCTTTCCTGCCTATGTGCCCAGGAGACATGCCCACTAATGTTTATGGCAAAAACTAGAATCAGCTACATATACATCAATAGAAAACTAGTGCAATCATGGTATAATCATAAAATGTAAACCTTCAGCAGTAAAAATGAGTGAATGACAGCCTCTCACACCACAGATAACTCCTATATGTAATGTGCATCATGGGAAAATAAATGCAGTAGGAATTTGCTGTACTGGAAGCTTAAAAACCAGCAAAACTAACTAATATTTGGATTGGGGATATATCTATACTTATTACACAAATCTTTAAATAAATATAAAGGAAAAATAATCACAAGACTCAGGATGGAGTCTCCTTTTGGGGGATGGGAATGGGCAGCAGCCCAGGGTAGTTTACAGGTTCTGTGTTTTACAACAGTGCTGGCTAAAGTCCATACAACACATCCATTCCCTTTTAAAAGGGAACTTTTAAAATAAATTTGTAATACTTGATGTTGATGATGTGTTCTGAAAACATTGAGTTGAAAGAATTGACTTAAATTCCTAATTCCTTAAACAGAGTTTTTCAAATTAAAATATACCTGATTTTTATAAAAATGAAAGAGAAAAGAATACCAAAGTTCATGGCAAGCATCCTTAACAAGAACTACTTACACTGGAAGAAAACGACAGAGAATTGTAAGGAGCCATGTGACAGAGAGGACCAGCGTGCCATCAAAATGGCCTTGGCTACAAATAGGTCATTTGATCCTTGGCTCACTGGCATCTCTCTAGATTTTTGAAGTATACAATCTTCAATCTGATATGCAAGGTAATTCCATCTTGCAAAGGATTTGGTGTTACATTTTACCACACATACAACTGAGTTAAACTATTACAGAATTGGAAATGCACATCATTGATCAAAATAAATGAAACAAGAAAAGAGTAGAAAGGAATCACCAGTGATGGAATAGCAATATGAATAGAAAATGCAATAGGAATGCTAAAACAAACAAAGAAACAAACAAAACCACTTCAGAAACACCTGATAGCAGTGCTATTTAGAATCATAGTGGTGTCCAAATCACTGCTATCACATATCATTCAACACCACAACAAAAGATGTTAAGTGTATTATAGAATGCTGATCGAATAGCCAGTTATCGAAAAACCTTGTTTCTCAATTCGAGCTAACAATTTCATGATACTGCATCAAACCAGTTATTGGCATCAGGCTAAGCTAGATGTGTTGACTGAAGTATGAGATTCACATCTTTGTAAATGGAAAGCAATCTGAGTAGGCAATATTTTTCTAAGTGAAAGCAAGTTAATTAGAGAAGTAAAGAAACAAAGGACGGCTACTCCAGAGACAGAGCAGTGCTTCTTTTTATAAGTGTAGGCAAATGTTTTTTGAAGATGTATTTCAATAAGAAAATTGGCGCTTGGGACATACTTCCACTAAATTTGAGACATTTTAGACAAAACAAAGACTTATTTTCAAGACATTATTTTTATGGCACTAAAGTCTTGGAACTATTTGATCTAGTTACTCTATGTTCTCAACTGTGTTAACTCATTGAAGAGAACATTGTTGTTATTAAAGATATTGGCAAGAAAATCTCAGAGATACTGTTGTATCTCCTTTATCTGCCTCAAACTGTTTTCTCCTCAACACGTAAGGCTCTGTGATGTCTCAAACTTTTAATCATTAATTTAAAAAGTGAAGCTTATCGCAGAATTACAAAAAAAAACTATTTTAAAATTCATATGGATCCAAAAAAGAGTTCATATAGCCAGGAGAATCCTAAGCAAAAATAACAAAGCTGGAGGCATGAGGCTACCCGACTTAAAAGTATACTACAAGGCACAGTAACCAAAACAGCATGGTACTGGTACAAAACAGGCACATAGACCAATGAATAGAAAACTCAGAAATAAGACCACACGTCTAAAACCTTGTGATCTTCAACGAGCCTGACAAAAATAATCAATGGGCAAAGGATTCCCTATTTAATAAACGGTGCTGGGAGAACTGGCTAGCAATATGCAGAAAATTGAAGCTGGACTCCTTCCTTACACCTTACCCAAAATTAACTGATGATGAATTAAAGACTTAAATGTAAATTCCAAAACTGTAAAAACCCTGGAAGAAAATCTAGGCAATACCATTCAGGACATAGGAATTGGCAAAGATTTTATGATGAAAACACCAAAAGCAACTGCCACAAAACCAAAAATTGACAAATGGGATCTAATTAAACAAAAGAGCTTCTACAGAGCAAAAGAAACTATTATCAGAGTGAACAGACATCCTACAGAATGGGAGAAAATGTTTGCAATCTGTCCATCTGACAAAGGTCTCGTATTCAGAATCCACAAAGAACTTAAGCAAATTTACATGAGAAAAACAATTTCATTAAAAAGTGGACAAAGGACCTAAACAGACACTTCTCAAAAGAAGACATACATGTAGCCAATAAACATAAGAAAAAAAGCTAAACATCACTGATCAGAAGAAAAATGCAAATTAACACTACAATGAGATACCATCTCATGCCAGTCAGAATGGCAATTATTAAAAGTCAAGAAACAACAGATGCTGGTGAGGTTGCAGAGAAACAGGAAGGCTTTTACACTGTTGGTGGAAATGTAAATTGGTTCAACCATTGTGGAAGACAGTGTGGCAATTCCTCAAAGATTTAGAACCAGAAATACCATTTGACCCAGCAATCCCACTATAGGTTATATACCCAAAGGAATATAAATTATTCTATTATAAAGGTATATGCATGTGTATGTTCATTGCAGTACTATTCACAATAGCAAAGACACAGAATCAATCCAAGTGCCCACCAATGATGGACTGGATGGAGAAAATATAGTACATATACACTATGGAATGTTATGCAACCATAAAAAGGATTGAGATCAAGTCCTTTGCAGGAATATGAATGAAGCTGGAAGCCATTATCCTCAGCAAACTCACACAGGAACAGAAAACCAAACACCACATGTTCTCACTTATAATTGGGAACTGAGCAATGAGAACACATGGACACAGGGAGAGGAGCAGCACACACTGGGGCCTGTTGGGAGAGTGCAGTGATGGGGGAATCATTAGCAAAAATGGCTAATGCATGCCAGGGTTAACACCTAGGTGATGGGTTGATAGATGCAGCAAACCACCATGGCACATGTTTACCTATGTAACAAACCTGCACATGTACCCTGGAACTTAAAATTAAATTAAATTAAAAGACAAGCTTAAAGCATTAAAGAAAAATAATTAGATAAAAGAAGGCTTTGTTTTACTAAATCCTGAAACAATAATTTTAATTTTGCTTTTAACGTATAGCAAGTCCTTTAGTACAGCTCTCTTTCAGAGGTGCAGCTTAATTCCCTCTCTTGAGTGTGGCTTGGACTTAGTGATGCACTTCTGATAGGGCCTGGCTCTGTGTTCCCACCCAAATCTCATTTTGAATTGTCTTGTGAATTGTAATCCCCACATATTGGGGGAGGGACCTGATGGGAGGTGATTGAATCATGGGGATGGTTCCCCCAAACTGTGGAAGTCAGTGGTTGAACCCGTTTTTCCTAATGCTCCCCTCAGCACTGCCCTCCCATAATAGGCCCCGGTGTGTGTTTTTCTCTCCCTGTGTCCATGTGTTCTCATTGCTCAGCTCACAACTGTAAGTGAGAACATGCGGTGTTTGGTTTCTCGTTCCTGTGTTAGCTTGCTGAGGATAACGGCTTCCAGCTTCATCCATGTCCCGGCAAAGGACTTGATCTCATTTAAAATACAACAAGTGGGAGTCACAGATACATTGTCTGGGAAAGTGAAACTTAGGAGCTCTGTGAGTCCTGTTGTAACGCCTTTAGACACATTTATATATCAAGGGGCCAAAGTCACATTTTTTACCAATTAGATTCCTGATCATTCAGGGGTTACCAAGATTCTGCTACTCACTGTAGTTAATAAACAAAAAGCAAACTGGTCTCTGTTCTATCTCATGCACTCAGGCGCAACTTTTCCAGATTTAAAGAGAAAGAAAAAGGAAAAGAAAAAAAAAAGCCCTGTCTCTACACCTCCATTCCAGGGCAAGCTCAGTCTCTGGCACCAAGCTCTCTGGGATGATTTTTCTTCTAGAAGAGTCCACTGGGACAGGTAAGGAGTAGGAGGCAGGGAGTCCGGGATGAAAAGTGAAGGGAGAGGGACGGGGCCCATGCTGTGTGTTTCTCCCTGGTTTCTCAGACAGCTCCTGGGCCAAGACTCAGGGAAACATTGAGACAGAGCGCTTGGCACAGGAGTAGCGGGTCAGGGCGACGTCCCAGGGCCCCAGGCGTGGCTCTCAGGGTCTCAGGCCCCACGGCAGTGTATGGATTGGGGAGGCCCCGTGTTGAGGATTCCCCATCTCCGCAGAGTTTCTCTCCTTCTCCCAACCTGTGTCGGGTCCTTCTTCCTGGATTCTCACCGGGCGACTCCAGTTCTCACTCCCATTAGGTAACAGGTTTTTAGAGAAGCCAGAGTCGCCGCGGTCCCAGTTCTAAAGTCCTCACTCACCCACTCGGACTCAGATTCTCCCCAGACGCCAAGGATGGTGGTCATGGCGCCCCGAACCCTCCTCCTGCTGCTCTCGGGGGCTCTGGCCCTGACAGAGACCTGGGCGGGTGAGTGCGGGGTCGGGAGATGGCCTCAGCGGGGAGGGGCCAGGGGTCCGCCCAAGGGTGGTGCAGGACCCGGGGAGCTGCGCGGGGAGGAGGGTCGGGCGGGTCTCAGCCCCTCCTCGCCACCAGGCTCCCACTCCATGAGGTACTTCAGCGCTGCCGTGTCCCGGCCCGGCCGCAGGGAGCCCCGCTTCATCGCCGTGGGCTACGTGGACGACACGCAGTTCGTGCGGCTCGAAAGCGACGCCGCGAGTCCGAGGATGGAGCCGCGGGCGCCGTGGATGAAGCAGGAGCGGCCGGAGTATTGGGAAGAGGAGACACGGAGCACCAAGGCCCACGCACACACTGACCAAGTGAACCTGCGGACCCTGCGCAGCTACTACAACCAGAGCCAGGCCGGTGAGTGACCCCGGCCCGGGGCGCAGGTCACGACCCCCCACCTCCATGCCCTACGGACGACCAGGGTACTCCCGAGTCTCCAGATCTGAGATCCACCCCGAGGCCGCGGGACTCGCCCAGACCCTCTACCTGGGAGAAGCCCACGCGCCTTTACCAAAATCCCTGCGGGTTAGTCCGGGAGGGGGCGAGGCTCGGTGGGCGGGGCTGACCGAGGGGGCGGGGCCAGGGTCTCACACCCTCCAGTGGATGATTGTTTGCGACCTGGGGCCCAACGGGCGCCTCCTCCGCAGGTGTGAACAGTTCGCCTACGATGGCAAGGATTACCTCGCCCTGAACGAGGACCTGTGCTCCTGAACCGCAGCGGACACTGTGGCTCAGATCTCCAAGCACAAGTGTGAGGCGGCCAAAGCGACTGAAGGAAGGAGAGCCTACCTAGAGGCCACGTGAGTGGAGTGGCTCCACAGATACCTGGAGAATGGGAAGGAGATGCTGCATCGTGCGGGTACCAGGGGCCATGGGGCGCCTCCCTGATCTCCTGTAGACCTCCCAGGCTGGCCTAGCACAAGGAGAGGAGGAAAATGGGAGCAACACTAGAATAGCGCCCTCCCTCTGGTCCTGAGGGAGAGGAATCCTCCTGGGTTTCCAGATCCTGTACCAGAGAGTGACTCTGAGGGCCCGCCCTGCTCTCTGGGACAATTAAGGGATGAAGTCTCTGAGGGAGTGGAGGGGAAGACAATCCCTGGAATACTGATCAGGAGTTCCCTTTGACCCCACAGCAGTCTTAGGCACCAGGACTTTTCCCCTCAGGCCTTGTTCTCTGCCTCACACTCAATGTGTGTGGGGGTCTGACTCCAGCTCCTCTGAGTCCTTTGGCCTTCACTCAGGTCAGAATCGGAAGTCCCTGCTCCCCCGCTGAGAGATTAGAACTTTCCAAGGATTAGGAGATTATCCCAGGTGCCCGTGTCCAGGTGTCTGAGTTCTGTGCTCCCTCCCCCCACCCCACCCCGCCAGGTATCTGGTTCATTCTTAGGACGGTCATATACTGGTGCTGCTGGAGTGTCCCACGAGAGATGCAAAGTGCCTGGTTTTCGGACTCTTCCTTTCAGACCCCCCCAATTCACACGTGACCCACCATCCTGTCTTTGACTATGAGGCCACCCTGAGGTGCGAGCCCTGGGCTTCTACCCTGTGGAGATCAGACTGACCTGGCAGCGGGAGAGTGAGGACCAGACCCATGACGTGGAGCTCGTGGGGACCAGGCCTGCAGGGGATGGGACCTTCCAGAAGTGGGCAGCTGTGGTGGTGCCTTCTGGAGAGGAGCAGAGATTCATGTGCTATGTGCAGCACCAGGGGCTGCCTGAGCCCCTCATGCTGAGATGGAGTAAGGAGGGAGATGGAGGTATCACGTCTGGTAGGGAAAGCAGGAGCCCCTCTGGAGACCTTTAACA